CCACAGTAACCGCAGGCAGCACTACAGACTGAGGGGAGAGTGGCTGGAGCTGCCCAGCAGAGAGGGACCTGGGAGCACTGGTTGACAACCAATTAAATATGAGCCAGCAGTGTGCCCAGGTGGCCTGGGAGGCCAATGTCATCCTGGCTTGTGTCAGGAATGGTGTGGCCAGCAGGAGCAGGGATGTGATTCTCCCCTGTGCTCAGCACTGGGGAGGTCTCACCTTGAGTCCTGGGGGCAGTTCTGGGCCCATCACTGCAAGAAGGATTTTGAGGTGCTGGAGCAGGTCCAGAGGAGACAACGAGGCTGGTGAAGGGACTGGAGGGGAAAGTCTGATGAGGAGGGGCTGAGGGAGCTGGGGTTGTTTAGCCTGGAGAAGAGGAGACTCAGGGGGGATCTTCTCACTCTCTACAACTCCCTGAAGGAAGGTTGTGCTCAGGTGGGGCTGGGCTCTTTTTCCATGCAGCCAGTGACAGGATGAGAGGGCCTGGCCTGAAGCTGCTCCAGGTGAGGTTTGGGTTGGATATCAGGAAGCACTTCCCCGTGGAAAGGGTGATCAGACATTGGGATGGACTGCCCAGGGCAGTGGTGGAGGCACCATCCCTGGTGGTGTTTAAGGAAAGGCTGGAGATGGCACTTGGTGCCATGGTCTGGAGATGTGATGGTGTCAGGTCATAGGCTGGACTTGATGATCTTAAAAATATTTTTCAACCTTGGTGATTCTGTGTGTGTGTGTGAAAAAAATGAGGAAGATTCTTTCATTGAGTCACAAGGGTCAGAGTGAAGCCCATTGTTTTCTGAACTCCTTCTCAGAGAGGAGTCTGGGTGCAGCTGGATCCACTTCTGGTCCCAGACTTGGTCAACAGTTTACAACTAATTTAGATGGTGGGATTTCGGTGTGATACTTGAACACATAATTATGGGTCTGATGTGGTTTGAAGTAGCAGTAAATTAAGATTGATTAATGCTGTTATAACAAGCCACAAAATTTGATTACATGGTTTTCTAAGAACTTAAGTAATAAACAATTTGTTGTAATCAATACAGAGATTAAATTAAAGATCTAAAAAACTTTCTAAACTAAATTGTGCATACACACAGATAAGAGAGGTTAAGATGTTCAATTTTGGTGCCAAATTTCACAAAAGAAGTTGCAATATACCTCTCAGTACCCCATGGAGTCAAATTATAGCCACCTAATAAACTGGATTTTTCCCTCCTACCCAAGAGTTCTTCCTAGTTGGATGAACCAGCTTCCTTTGGGAGATGTATGAGATGCAGGGGCACAACTCAGTGCAGTTCCAGGGAGCTCCAAAGTGCCTCCTTCTTGGAGTTCCAGGAGAAGTTAAGGAGTGCCTGATCATCCCAAATCACTGTATTTGCACCAGGACAAGAAGGTACCCAGTTGTCTGGACTCAGTCTTCCAGTAGGCAAGGTCAGAAAGTGCTAGATTGCTATTGAAACAAGAGTAATGTTGGACCCACTGCACTTGTAACTAAAGCAAGAACAATGTTGGCTGATGTTGATGGGGTAACATGGCTCAGTAAACGGGGGTTCTGTACCAGCACAGAAGTCCTGAGAAGGAACAGTGCATCTCCCCCAGCTCAGTCAGTCACTTCCATGAACTTTTCCAGGGGAAACAGGCACAGTGTAGTGCCAATCCCAGCATGGCAGGCTGACATCAAGAGGAGTGAGTATGGTGGAGCATCTGTGAGGATGGGGAAAGCAGATCTTGCTCTAGGGGTTTCTCTACTGGTCACACTTGTGACAATTGCTTCCTCCTCACTCTTGAGGTTAGTCTGAATGCCTGTGGGTGCAAGGAAGGGAAGGTGGAGACTCTTTGAATCCCAATGACCCTCTTGATCAACACTGTTGTGATTTGCATGGGGTCACCGTGATGGCAATGGCAAAGATGGGATGGTTGTACCTGGAGGGGCTGTGGTCAGCAGGCCTTACTCTGCTTTCTGTGGCCTTTGGCTGCCATGCTCAGGGACAGAAGGCTTGCCCCTGGTGCTGCTCTGGGCTGGATCCAACACTTGCCTCCCCTCTGTTCTCTAGGAAGTGCCCCACGCCGGGCTGCGATGGGTCAGGACACGTGACTGGGAGATTCACAGCTCATTACTGCCTGTCAGGGTGTCCTCTGGCAGAGAAGAACCAGGGCAGGGTTAAAGCTGACTTGTCCGACACCGAGGCCTCCACTCGCAAGAGGAACCTGATTGGCTTCCCTCAGCGAAAGAAATCTCGGCACCACGGGAGGTAGGGGCAAGCCCGGGGAGCTCCATGCACAAGTGCAGGGCCCCTGTGCCTTAGCTGCCATCTCTGGGAGCAATGGCCAAGCCAGAGAGGCTGCTTGACCACAGGGAAGCACGGTTGCTGGAGTCTGTCCTTCCAGCTCTGTTGGGCACCTCTCTCCATTTTTCATTCCATGTTTTGTGTCTTTAGCTATCAACCTTTTGGGTCAGGGTCCAAGAGGTGATTCTTGCTCCCGCTGCTACGGCATTGCTCTGTGCAGTGTGGAGAAGGGCCCTCGGGCCAGTCTCAACCCAGTTGGAAATCAGTCTTCCTGTCTCTTTAGAGGGCGACCTCCAAAATACCGGAAGATCCAGCAGGAAGACTTCCAAAGTAAGTGCTGTCCTCTACCATGGTGTCATCACAGGGGCAAGGCTCAAGGACCTGGGGTGGTGGCTGTTGGAGGCAGGTCTCCCTTGGCTCACTCAGACCTCACACAAGTCAGCACAAGGAACATCCTCACCTCTCACCAGAACTCCACTAGGTCCCTTATCATGTCTTTTGGTTGGTATGTGTAAATCTTCAAGGGCTTTAAGGCAGGGAATTAGGATCTTCTTGCTGTGGTTGTGCATTTTTCCAGTGCTTTGTCCTCTTCAGACAGGAATGCTGTGCGTTCATCCTGTGGCTGCCCTACCACAACCTATCAGTGTAGTGCCCAATGACTACTGGAGCACAGAAACTGATACTGAACAGTCTGCTTTGCATTTAGTTCTGCTGACTGACATTTATTCCAGCCAGTATCCGTGGGCTGTCCTGCCTACCCCAAAGCCAGGGGTGAAGAGGATCTCTTCTTGGGAGCCATTCTTGACTCCTTGGAGCAGAGAATAAGGAAAAAACTTGGTTAAAAATACAAAATTAATTGAATGATATGAGATGGCATTCTGGTGGGAAATTTAACATTGAAATCTAGTTGAATGTGGAAAATTAATGATTGAAGGTGAACAAGGCAATGAACAAGGCAAAGCCAAGCGTGTCTCTAAACTTTTTCCCCCACCATCCCCAGTCCCAACAAACTGAACATTTGGGTACACTGATATCCTGTTAATTCAAGGGACAACCACTAGCTCTTAATACCTGGACCCGTGAGACCATCTGCTGCTAGCCCTGGTCCTTCCTCTGAACAGGGCCCTCCCCAAGAATTGTAGCATATAGTGGGATGGGATGTTCTCCTACCTCATGTGACATCTTACATTGTTGTTGCCAGCTATTTCTTCAGACAGTCTGCACCAGTCACTCTTCATGTCGGCCCTGTCTGCCCATCCTGACCGCTCCCTGTCACTCTGCTGGGAGCAGCACTGCAAACTTCTGCCAGGGGTGGCTGGTATCACAGCAACTACAGTGGCCAAGTGGACCATTGATGAGGTAAGATGGCTCTGAAGATTGTATGCTGGCTCCTAACCCACTGGCATAGCTGTGAGCACTCTACCTTGCCATGTAGCACCACAGTGCATGCAGCAGGCACGGAGGAGCTTCAGAAGCCACTTCCTGGGCTGTACACACTTGTGGGGTGCTGTGTGGACAGCTGCCAGACATGAGCCCTGATGGCAGCTTCTGGGAAGTACATGCAGAACTACCAGGTTCTTGCTTAGCTTGAATGTGACACTAGCCCAGGGCAGGCAGGAAAATACAAAGAGCAGTCCCTTCATTTAACGTGTAACAGAAAGAAATCAGTTTTATCTTTGCCATGTTAAAAAGATTGTTCAGATAAAAAGTCACTTCCCTGTTTCTCTGAAAAAGAAATATTTACCTCAAATTCTTCATTGTCACCTTCATTTACCTTTGTGGGCATCTGTGATAGCCTCTCTTAAGGCCTGGCTAGCTTGAACTCTGGCACCTGCCCCAGCAGCCAGGCCTGTCTGATTTCTCCAATAGCAACATGTGTGCCCCTCTCCTGCCCCTCCCTGTGCCTCTAAGTGGGAATGGTCTGGGGCTGGAGGAACCCAGCACCTGTGCTGTAGTCCAAATGTGGTCTCTAGGCACAGAAGGGTGCTGCAACTGCAGCCTTTGCCATAACAGCCACATGTTACCTTACATGTGTGGAATGCCCCTATGGAAGGGAAGTCGTGGGCTCATGGGGGTCTCCAGTGAGAAACATTGCTTATGTCTTGATATTCTTCTGTTTATTCCAAGGTCTTTAGCTTTGTTCAGACCCTGACTGGTTGCGAGGACCAAGCCAAGCTCTTCAAGGATGAGGTGAGAAGGGCTGGAGGATGAGTGCAGGTGGCAAAGGACAGCGATTTGTCAACAGGGCAAGGAGGAATTGGCCAGTGGGCTTTCTGCAGTGGTTGCTGCTAAGTGCTGAGAACACCTGACAGTGATTCTACCCTGCAGCCCACTGAGTGTGCAGATGTCTCCCTGTGCAGAGCCCGTGGCAGGGGGGGAGCTGCTGACTCCAAGGGAGCTGTGCTGCCCTTGTTCTCCCCACATGGAGGGGGATAGGCCCTCTGAGGAGTCTGGAATGGGCAAGCAGGAGGAGGTGGTGCTGCAGCACCTCCTGAAGGAAGCTGCTTACTGGACCCATTAGTCCTTCCCCACCTGTGGACAGACATGCTGAGGGGCTGCTCTCTGCTATGTGTAATACACCCAGGGCAGGCTCGTCCTGGGCACACCGGGTGCAGCAAGTGTTCCAGCCTGTTAGTAAATGGCCACAGCACTCCCAAGGGTGCTCAGGCATGCAAAGCTGAGCTGAGGCAGCCTCCACACATGCCAGGAACTGGAGCAGGGGATGGAGGGGTGTTTGCCCAGAGCAGGTTACCTGCTGGCTATGCCTGTTGCACTCTGGCACAGAGGCTTGGGCTGGCTGCAGGGTGAGCTTATGGGGCAGCCCCTGAAAGGGCTCTTCTTCCACTTGGCCCTGTTCCTGGGTGTGTGAGCTCCCAGCTCTGGCTTATCTGAGGCAGCAATGGAATACTGGGGGTGGCCCATAACCCTGCGATTGTCTTGTGGCTGAGGGTGAGTGCAACTGTGCACATCCCCTGGTCACACCCATGCTGGCTGTCCCTAGGAAGTCACAGACTGGGCTTTCAGTGAGTGCCTTTGTCCCTGCTCTCTCCAGATGATCGATGGGGAGGCCTTCCTCTTGCTGACACAGGCTGACATCGTCAAGATTATGAGTGTCAAGCTGGGCCCAGCCCTCAAGATCTACAATGCCATCCTCATGTTCAAAAACGCCGATGACACCTTAAAGTGACTTTTCTTGGCCTGATCAGGACTCTCTGTCAGCTCTGGTGCTGCCAAACTGTCTGGTCAGGACAGAGATTACCCTGACTGACCTCAGCTTGTCATGTCCTGTTCATGTCCTCTCAGATGCCACATCTCTGCTCTCTCACCAGTCCATCTCCCATCCTGTCCCTTCCACTCCACAGTGCCCTTCTCCAGCACTGGGTGCCCGCTGGTCCCAAGACTCAGGGCCAGCTGCAGCGACAGAGGGTGGGTGCAGGACTGGCCTGGCTTAGTGTGACAGCCACCCTCCCTGTCCTCCTGTGACTGCACTGATCCAGGGGGGTGTGGTGAGGTACAGCAGAGGGGTGCAGAGGGTGTAGGAGCTGCGGTCTGACACCCCTACTCACATCACCCAGACAAGGGAAGGGACTGGCTGCCTGCATGTGTGCTTGCACCTATTTAAAGGCTGCTCTTTCTTTCGCTCAGCAGCTGAGAGGAAGTTTTTTTCCTTTCAATGTGTTCCTCTGGAGGCACTTTCCTAGGGACTAACATTGTTTCCAAGGGACACTCTCAAGGAGCTTCTGCTCACTTGGCCTTTTTCTCCAAATTCTTTTGACTTTCCCTTTAAATCCAGATGATTACTTTGCTTTGCCCCTTCACTCACCTCTTGCCCCTTCCAGGGCACAATGTGTCCTGACTGCTGCTCTGCCCACAACCAACATCTGTTCTTTATTCCTCTTTATTGTCATACTGAAGCCCCAGGGCCAGGGCTGGGTGGGTGCAGAACAAGCCCCATCTCCAGAACAAGCACTTTAGGCTGTCTTTGCCGGCATATCTCTGGGAGAAAGGATGCTTGGCTAACTTGTTCCCCTTGCAGCAATTAAAAAATCCTCTGCAAAGAAAATTTGGGTCCTCTTTCGTCTACGTATTAGGAGCAAGGCCCTTTCCAGAGTAGAAACAGCTGCCAAGGACAAGAAGCATCCATTCTTCCACAGGCAGATCCACAGCTCAGTTCTGAAGGCATTCCT